TTATATTTGACTCATTTTTTTTATTGTTTTACTTTTTATTCACCTTTTTTATTTTAATTAGTATTTGGTTATTATTTTTTACTTATTACATTATTTTTTTATGAAAACATTTTTTTTCCCCCTTAACTTTATTGCTATGACACAGGAGCTAAAAAGCCCCTGTGTGATAGCATTTGGAGGTGACAGGTTTATTGAACCTGTCACTACCAATACAGGAGTTCTAGCGCAGCACAGCACTGTGCTGGAACCTGGAACTCCTGTGACTGCTGTGAGAGAGAGCCTGCGAGTGTAGCTCTCCCCTCTCACTCTGTACATGAAGCAGAGTGGGCAACGGACGTTCCCCGCTCTCCTCCCCACTCTGCTCCCTGCTCTCCATCCTGAAGATCCCCGGAGAGAGGCGGCCAGCTAGGAGAGAGGTACAGTACGCAGGGGGGTGGGGGTGGAGGACGGACCTCCAGTCTTATTACAAATGATCTTGGCAACATCGCTGTGATCTCTTGTAAATGAACGAGCGGCTTCCCCAAAGCAGGGCTGAATGTAGAAAACAACTAGCCGCCCGGAACTGCATATCCCAGGCGTCGGGAGATTCTACACCCCTGCCGCCCCTCTGCTCCCTGCAGCCCTGAGGCCAGGCCTCAGGTAGCCTTGTGGGAAATCCAGCCCTGTGTGTACCCGGCTTTAGTACATAGGTTTACACTGCTTCTAAAATGAGATCTGGTGCGCATGATGCGATGCTGCAGTTCATGGGTCATTTTCAGGTCTACTCTAACTTTAAAGCCCAACTTTTCTTTAAAGCGTTTGGATAGGCTTGGGAAGAGCAAATATATCCGTCAAGTTTTTCTTGCTTGTCATAGAAAGATTTTACCACACTTCTTCCTGTTCCTATGACAAAAAATGCAGGACCAGCAAGAAAAAACTTGCTGGTCCTGCATTGTAATGTCCGAATGCCTGCTACCAACGGCGCGCCAAACGGAAGCGGCTTTGAGGGGACTGGTCGACAGGGGAGAAGGAAGCCTGTAGGACAAAGATATCTATCTTATGCACCCCCCTTCATACCCCAATCAACTAGCTGGAATTAGGGCCTCTGTTAGTGGGCTTTTCTCATTCAAAATGGGTTTTGTCTTCTCATATAAGTCTATGGGAGTGCAAAACCTGCTTGAAGTAGGTCAAATGGAGGTCAACTGCAGGTCAAATGCACCCATCCGTGAACTCTGAATGATCAGGGAATCAAATGGAGGCCATCGAACAAGCCCAAATCTTGTCAACACAGGCCCTCAGTATCACAGGTGACAAAAATTAGAGGTCACAGGCTCACTAGGCAAATCGAGACTGGGGTGGAAAAGTTGATGGAGACAGTTTTTCCATTCTGCCTCAGTACGTCTAGAACAAATGACTAAAAGACTAAGGCACAGACACTGTGGTGTATTTTAGTTTTGTGCTGCCCTAGGCAAGACTAAACCTGGACACCCCCCAATTTAAATTTGCCCCACCCCTTCCTGTTGAAAACATTTTGCGTAACCTGTCAGTCGCTGAATACAGCATGCACGCTGTATCCAGCTTCTGACAGGTTGTGAGCATGCACGCTGTATCCAGCTTCTGACAGGTTGCGAGCATGCACGATGTATCCATCTTCTGACAGGTTGCGAGCATGCACGCTGTATCCAGCTTCTGACAGGTTGTGAGCATGCAGGCGGTATCCAGCTTCTGACAGGTTGCGAGCATGCACGCTGTATCCAGCTTCTGACAGGTTGCAAGCATGCACGCTGTATCTAGCTTCTGACAGGTTGAGAGCATGCACGCTGTATCCAGCTTCTGACAGGTTGCGAGCATGCACGCTGTATCCAGCTTCTGACAGGTTGTGAGCATGCATGCTGTATCCAGCTTCTGACAGGTTGCGAGCATGCAGGCTGTATCCAGCTTCTGACAGGTTGCGAGCATGCACGCTGTAGCCAGCTTGTGACAGGTTGCGAGCATGCACGCTGTATCCAGCTTGCATGCGTGCTGGGGTCACTTTGTTGTCACTGCATTTAATAAAATAGAAATTATGGGGACACAACCAGCCTGTCATTACTAAGGGTGATATAGGGTCACTTTGTTGCCACTGCATATAGTACAATAGAATGGTTGTGGGGGGGATGTGAGGGTGGCATGGGCACACAGACAGGGGACTTGCACACAGAACAGCTGACAGTCATCAAAAAAATCTAGTAAGTGGGTGTGTCTTTCCCCCTCGGCACAGCTGACACTGTTGTCGGTGAAGTGACTCAGGAAAGGGCCCCTGCTCGGGCCTCACATGGGCTGCAGCTATGCTGAAGACTGAGCAAATTCTCCATCTGAAGACCCAGCAGGGCCAGACCCGGCGAGCCATGAGGGAGCATTATCTGAGGAAGGATGTGAGCTGCAGGGGCCTGCTGTGTGTAGCCTGTGACTGGGGAGAGAGGTCTTCTTCCATGTCCATTCACCTCCTGCTGGCCCTTAACATGTAAGCTGTGCCTGAGACTCTCCAGACTCTGCCTACTCCCGCCTTAAACTCCGAGCATGGGATCCGTGCTAAGCAACGAAGGAAGCAGAGATCACAAAGCCCTGGCTACAGAAGACCCCAACCCCAGCTACGATTGTGCCCTGTGCCTGGAGATCCTGAACGAGGCTAATGATGACACAATGTGGCCATGTTAATGGCAGGTGAGGAGCTCACTGGTTTGGGGGCGAGTGCGGTGAAAAATGCCACACCCCTGAAATGTGCCATCCAAGGCAAATGCCTAGATTGCCTTGCGGTAGATACGCCCCTGCACAGACACAGATGGTAATGTGTTCCTGTTGGCTACATGAAGCTGATGTGTGGTGGGTATGTTGGGTATCCAGGGAGCATAAGTGTGAAGTTGGGCTTACAAGAAGAGTCAGGGTGCCTCAAGGAACTTTTTTTTCGTTTTGGATAGAGTGGAGAGGGATTAAAACACCGATCAGGTTTTTAGTACTGTCTGTGGCCCTGTAGGAAGATCACCCTTTCCATTAGTCCTGGGTGGCCATTATCACCAAGAGTAAAAGTGAAATAAAGCTACAAGCTTCTTCCCCGCTGCTTCCCCGCTTTACATTTAGCTCTGCTTGCCCAAAGCAGGGCTCAATGTAGAAAACAACTGCATGTCCCGGGCGTCGGGAGGTGGGAATTCCACACCCCTGCTGCCCCTCTACTCCCTGCTGCCCAAGGCCGGGCCTTGGTTGGCCTTGTGGGAAATCCGCCCCTGCTGGTGACAGCAGGGATTTTCCTCATTTTCTAAGGTATTTTGTCATCCCTTTTGTATTTATATGACCTGTAGGCCTCAGACACTCAGTGCCACGCTTTTGCGGATTTTTGTTTTCTGGGGGGAAAAATGGCCAATATCTTTTGAACAGCAATATTCTGCTGTTTGCGAGTGATTGCTTCATTGTACACAGTATTTTTACAGGAATATTCTCCATACAATGCATTGTTTACATTATAATACAATTCACAGGGATATAATCCTTCAGTCAATATTATACTAGTACTGTAAGACACTTCTTGTACAGCAAAAAGTTGTTGCTGAACAAATAATCCACCTTGTTCAGTCACGTTAATCAGAAGGAAGCTGCCAGCTTTTATGCACAGATAACTCTACATCTAGAAAATAGATTTACTGCAAATCTTGTAAGAAACAAAAATCTGCTTTCACACTTTACAGTGGATCTGTTACTTACACACAATAGCACATCAAACCTGTCTAGATTCTTTCATCGATTTTCTTACCTGTGATGATGAAGGTGCTGATCTAGAATAAACAGGCAATCCTGGCATGCACCATAGGCTCCTGGTCACCTTTGAATTGTTATGTGCAGATTACTGCAACCAGAAAATATTTTGGCTTATTACATACATGAAACATGAGACATACCCGCTAGATAGAGTGTCAGTATAGTTGATCCTGAAACTTGGTTTTGAAATAAATTTCATGAATTCAGATGTCCAGAGTGTCTGTGACAGTTTTCATTCATCCAGGTCATGGTATATCTGTAAAAAAATAAGTCAAGGCAACTGGACTTTCTGTATTTTTCTTGAAGACGTTTCACTGGTCATCCAACCAGCTTTCTCAATTCAGAATGACCTGTACAATTGTATTTATTTATTCCCAGATAATTTTTTGTACAAGCCATTCTGAATTGAGAAAGCTGGTCGGATGTCCAGTGAAAGGTCTTCAAGAAAAATACAAGTCCACTTGCCTTGACTTATTTTTTTACAGATATATCAGATGTCCAGAGCTTTACTGTTATTTATCATGTGGATTTTCAATAGGCTGCCAGAGGTAGGATTTTTTAAGGAAGGCTCAGGATGATTTTTTATCCATGTCGTCTTAGACAGGGCTGCCGGGTGCTTTCCAAGCTATTCTGCACAATTTTACACCAGTTGCTGCTCTGTAATACACACCTTTTGGATCCTGATCCTATTGCCTTCACTGAGATATCCAATTCAAAATACAAAATTCATGACTTGCACATTTTTTGAAGGTTGCCCAAACCACAGATAGATGTTCAACTTTTCAGAAAATTTCTCATCACTACTTATTAGATATTTCAAGAGTATTCAAGAAATGATATAATTTTAGATT